TTTTGAAATATAGGAAATGCTTTTTCTACAAGAATTAAGAAGATCATGTTGTTTTTTTCCCCCTTCATTTTGTTAATGTGGTGTTTGATTGATTTATACATTGATTGATTTTTGTGTGAAGCTCTCCTTGCATTCCAGGGATAAGTCTCACCTGGTCATGTTGTATAATCCTTTCAGTGTGCTGGTGAATTTGATTTGGTAATATTTTGTTGAGTCTATGTTCATCAGGGATATTAGGCTGTAGTTTTCTTTGATTGTGGTGTCTGGTTTTGGTATCAGGTATGCTGGCCTCATAAAATGGGTTGGAAGTTTTCCCTCCTCATCAATTCTTTGGAAGAGTTGGCAGACTGCTGTTAATTCTTCTTTAAGTGTCTGGTAGAATTCTGCGTGGCAGCCTAGATCCTTGGTATTTTTTGTTATTAGAATGGTTTTGATTACTGATTCAGTCTCACTACTGGGTAGATCTTCTTCAAAGTTTTATTTTCTTTTTGATTCAGTTTTGGATGTGTATTTCCAGAAAGCTATCCATTTTTTCTAGGTTATCCAATTTGTTGCTTTATAATTGTTTATGATAGTCTTTTGTGATCCTTTTAAATTCTATGGCATCAGGTGTAATGTGGCATCCTCTTTCATTTATGATTTTATTTATTTTTGTCTTCTTTCTTTTTTTACAGGTAATCTAGGTATAGTTTTGCTTATTTTTTGATCCTTTGAAATGTCAACTCTTAGTTGATTTTTTTTCTATTGACTTTGTATTCTCTGTTTATTTCTGCTATAAACTTTATCATTTCCTTCCTTCTCCTGAGTGTAGTTTTTTTTTTTTTTAAGTCCTTCAAAGTGTAAAGTTAGGTTGTTGATTTGAGATCTTTCTCCTTTTTTAATGGAAGCATGTACCACCATAAATCTTCCTCTTAGTACTACATTTGCTGCATAAAATTTCTCATAAATTTAGTATGTTGTGTTTGTGGTTTTATTTATCTTAAGATATTTTCTGATACATCTGTGATTTCTTCTTTTATATATTAGATTTTTTAAGTGTTTAATTTCTACATATATATGACTTTTCCATTTTTCCTTCTGCTCTTGATTTCTACTTTTGTTCCTTTGTGGTTGTAAGAGATACTTGGTCAGAGTTTCATTTTTATAAATTTGTTAAGGCTTATTTTGTGACTAATATTTGATCTGTCCTGAAGAATGTTCTGTGTGCATGTGAGAAAAATTTTGTATTTTTCTGCTGTTGGGTGAAAATTTCTATAAATGTCTGGTCCATTTGGTCTTTGGTATTGGTTCAGCTTTGCTATTTCCTTAATTGAATGTTTCTCTGGATCATCTACTCATTATATAGAATGATGGACTGAAAACTCCTATTATTGTGTTGCTGTTTGTTTGTTTTTCAATTCTGTCAGTGTTTATACATTGAGGCCTTGATGTTATGTGTATATATGTGTATAAATATTGTATTTGGTCAGTTGGTGCTTTTGTCATTATATAATGTCCTTTTATGTATCTTCTATAGGTATTTTATCTGTGATTACCATGGGGATTATATAAACTATTTTAACTGGTAGCAACTTCAATCATATTTAAGAACTTCTGCCTCTACAACTTTGTTATTAGTTTTATTATATCTTTTTTAAAATTCTATATCCTTTAACATAAATTTACAGTTACTTTTATGCCTAAATGTGTATAATTACATGTGATTTACTGCACCAACTTTATAGTAATAGTAATGCAGGATTCTGTAAATACCTTTATCAGAGAATTCTGTAAATACCTTTATCAGAGAATTTCGTCTGTTTGTATGCTTTCAAGTTGCCATCTCATATCCTTTCATTTTCACTTGAAGAACCCATTTTAGCATTTTGTGTGTGTGTGTGTATTGCAGATCTAATGGTCATGAACTTCCCCAGTGTTTTTAATCTAGGAAAATCTTAATTTTGCCTTAATTTTTGAATAAAAGTTTTGCTGAATATAGTATTTTTGCTTGGTAGTTTTCTTATTCCACACTTTGAATATATCATCCCGCCTCCTTGTAGCCTTCTAGTTATCTGCTGAGAAAACTACTGATAATCTTATGGGAGCTACCTTAAATGTAATGGGTTGCTTTTCTTTTGTTATTTAAAAATTTTTTATCTGTGACTTTCGACACCTTGACTGTGTTTTTCAGTATAGATCCATGAGTTATTCTATTTGGAAGTTAAGCTTTTTGAATTTGAGAACCCTCAAATTTGGAGAGTTTGGGGCCATTATTTGCAAAGGCTTTCTGCTATTTTCCTCTCTTCTATTCTTAGATTCCCATATTCATGTATTGGTTTTTTCAGTGGTGCCTCGTAAATTCCTTGGGCTCTGTTCACTTTTTTCTTCTCTTTTCTTTTGCTTTTGTAATTTGATAATTACAAATAACTTGTCATCAAGTCCACTAAATCTTTATTCAGCTTGGTACAGTCTGGTGTTGATCCCATGTAGTGAATTTTTCAATTTCAGTTATTCTTCAGATCCAGAATTTCTTTTGTTTCTATTTTAGAGTTTCTGTTTCTTTGTTAAAATTTTTATTTCTTCATGCATGATTTTTTATAATTTCTTTCAGTTTTCTTTTACCCCATTGAACATCTTGATATTGGTTATTTTGAATTCTTTAATGGGTAATTCACAGATCCCCATTTTCTTTTAGGGTCAGTTTCTGGAGATTTTGTTGTTGTTGGGGCTGTATTTCTCTGTTGGGGCTCTATGTTTAGTTCTCTTATATTGAAATTTGGGCATTTGAAGAAAAGAACCACTTTTCCCTGTCTTTTGACAGTTCTTTGTATAGAGGAAGACCTTTACTGTTCAGTTCAGGTATATACTCTGGGACCTCTCAGGCCTTTTCTAGAGATGTATTTTCTCTGAGCTTGTGTGTGTATGATTTCTCTGAGCTTGTGAATATAGTTTTTTATCTGAAGAGGCTTGTCTCTTTCTACTCAGAAACTCCCCACTGACATCTGTCTTCCATATTACAGTTTTGGTTTTATAAGCCATAATTTTGGAGGTCCCCCTGCTGTCTGTGTTAGAATGGTTTTTCTGGTGCTGTACCAAGCTAATAGGCTCACCTTTGTTCTCACGTGGCCACTAGACATCCAGCATGTGCTACTTCCTTCAGATCAGATGAAACAGAAACCAGTGCTTTGGACAGTCCCCAGAAAAGCCAGAATATTGCATGAAAATTCCACTCTTCTCTTCCCTTTTTTTTTTTTTTAAAGAGTTTATTTATCTATTTGATAGAGATCACAAGCAGGCAGAGAGGCAGGCAGAGAGAGAGAGAGAGAGAGAGAGGAGGAAGCAGGCTCCATGCCGAGCAGAGAGCCCGATGCGGGACTTGATCCCAGGACCCTGAGATCATGACCTGAGCTGAAGGCAGAGGCTTAACCCGCTGAGCCACTCAGGTGCCCCTTCTCTTTCCCTTTTGAAGGAGAAGCCAGAAATGAGAAATTTTGATTGTGCTGTACTGTATCAGGAGGGGTTTGGGATATGGTGGGTAAGTACAGCAGACTTGCCCGACGACTGAAAAGCACTTCTTCTTTGCCTTGCTATTGCTTGGGGTCCTATAACCTCTTGACTGGCTTCTGGAATTCTAACAAAGGAAATTTGATCCATCCCATGAGGGATGAAGATGTTAGTCTTCCTATTCTGTCATCTTTTGGTGTCACCACACTGTAGTACTTAAGATCTTCCATCCAGTGGCCATCCCATGTTCTAAGCCAGTTGTATTTATTTAATTATGCTTTTACTCCTTCTTTTTCTGTTTTTCTCCTTGAAATGTTCTTTATCTTCATCTTAGCTATTTTCAGTGTACTAACCTATATGAAGATGCATTTTCCTCAAAAACTTATTAAAAAAGTTTTTCCATCAGCACTGCACTGTTACTTTAATTTGCTTTTCTATTTGTTTCATGTGTTTTTGTCCACAGGCAGATTTTAAGCACCTTTTGAGCAATTCATTGTAATTTTGTCTCTTATCTTCTCTACCTGTATAACTAGTATAATGCTATACTTGTTGGTCAGAGTTATTCTTTTATCCTGTAAAAAGCATCAAGATTGGTTGATTGAAAAGAGTGATTAGTGGCATCTACTTGATGTGATTTTAAGCACCTGCCACCTTTGTTTTAGTATTTATTATTACTATTACATTAATTAAATCTTGAGCAGAATTATTTATATTTCTTAATTTAAGGAATAATATGATAATAGTATAATTATTGACAGAGGCCCAAGTAATGATAATTAATATGTATATGTATAAGAATTCCATTTCTATATTCCTTGTTTTGAGGGGGAAAAGGCTGAAATTAGTTAATAATTAAGTTTAGAATTGAAATATCTTTTTATGAAGTTATCAGTCACATAGTGGCAAGTAGTTATTTTTTAAACAATAATTGAAAAAATAATTTTGATTTGTGGCCTTAGGCACCATTTTATTGGTAATCAACTATTTCTGGAAAAGAATAAATATGTACTCTGTTGAGTTCCTGTTGGTAATTTGGTGCCTGCTATGTGTGGTCTGTAGTAGGCATTCACTTGATTTTGAATAAATACGTCTAGTTATTCTTCAGATTCATATTATCAATATTTATTGAACCCTTACAGCATGTAAACCATTTTCACATTCTCTAGTTAGTCATCTTAAAAAACTGAGGTATAGGAATTATTATATTAATCTTTCACACAATTGTTGCAATGGGTTAAGTAATTTGTTTAAGTGGCAATGTCAAGATTCAAAGCCCTGGCTTTTTTCTTTTCTCCTCTAGTAATATTTTCTGGAAGTAACAGGTAATATATAGAGAATGCATGTAAGGTTTTTTTGTGTTTTGTTTTTTTTTAATAATACTGGTTTCTAGTGCACAACATAGTAATTCAACATTCTTAAATGTTACAAAATGGTCACAATAGGTCGATTTAAGGTCATATTTTTAAAGATTGCTTGTGAATTGGGTTTTATTTTACCTGGGTGTTTTTCTCCCCCAGAATCCACCAAACCCACCAGTATCACCAGGAAAGTCTGTAGTTGATGTCAACAGCAATAACAACAATGTGCCATACAGGTGAGAATTGTAAACAGTCTTTCAAGTTTTTAAATAACAGAACAAGGTTCTGATTTTATTTATTTTACAGGAAAATTTTGGAATGTATTGCTATTTATTTTTGTAGAGATAAGTGTTTGGTATACTGGATTTAGATTTTCTTTTTTTGTTTTGTTATAATTGTTCATTTGTGGTTACTGGTTTTGCTAATTTATTTTGAGGCTTTCTTTGGTTATTTGAAGATTTCTTTAACCACTTGTGCTAAATAGTATTCTTGCAAAGTGATTGAGAAATATTTTGATCAAGGGTGATAAAAATTAATGTCTATAGATACTAGGATGTACGTTTGGCTTTTTGTTAAAGTGTTGAGGACATTAGAATATAAGAGAAAGACTCTTCCTTAATTCCATAGACCCCAGCATGCTGAAGTCTATGTGCCGTCTTTACCTATGCATTCATTTGCACTTTAGTGCTACAATACCCAGGTCTTGCCATGCTTTCCCCTATCAGCCATTGCTTTCTCTATTCATAAAATGATGTCCTCCTGAATGGCATTTTCACTGACTATTTGTATATATATATATATATATTTTGTAGAAATGCAGGCACAGTGAGACAGATGCTGGAGTCCAAAAGGAATGTAAGTGAGAGTGCACCACCAACCTTTCCAACCCCTGTGAATACAGGTAATATTTTTTAATACCAAAATAACATTTTCTTAGGAACTGAAGGTTTTGGTTCTCTTTTATTACAAATTTTTGAAATTAAAATGATCTAAGATAAATAAGTTCTAAGATAAATGAGGTATTTATCTAAAATTCAATAAGTACAAAATTTTATTTAAAAATTAGGATTACAGATATGTATGCAAATATAGAAATTCAAGTCTGTAGTGGTTCTCAAATTTTCTGGTTTCCATATCCCTGTATAATCTTATAATAATAATATAAAGAATCCCAAAGAGCTTTCATTTTTGTGGCTTATACTAATTGATATTTACTGTAGTGAAAATTAAAACATAAAATTTTAAATATTTATTTAAAAATCATAACAAACCGGGGCGCCTGAGTGGCTCAGTGGGTTAAGCCTCTGCCAACGGCTCACGTTATGATCTCAGGGTCCTGGGATCGAGCCCCACATCGGGCTCTCTGTTCAGCAGGGAGCCTGCTTCTCCCTTTCTCTCTGCTTGCCTCTCTGCCTACTTGTGATCTCTCTTTCTGTCAAATAAATACATAAAATTTAAAAAAGAATCATAACAAACCTATATCCTGTAACACAAATAACATGTTTTAATGAAAAACACCTTTTTTAAGCTTAAAACAGAAGAGTTATTGTTTACAGGTTTACACATCTCTTTTAAACCTAAAACATTAAGACAGTTGAAGGCAGTTGAAGATTCTTATATCTATCTCTGCATTAAGTCTGTTGCAGTTTGATGTTTTGATTGAAATATGTGAAGAAAATTCAGCCTCATACAAATATATAGTTGGAAAAGGACTAGCCCTTTTAGATTTTTGGATATTCTTCTTTGGCGTAATCAGGCAGTAGTTTATTAAAGGTTAGTTGAAAAGTGGAATGTGAAACCATACCAATAAACTTTTCTGATTTTTGACAGAAAGTCTGGGGGCACCTGGGTAGTATGGTCAGTTAAGTGTCTGACTCTTGGTTTTGGTTGGGCTCCATGCCCAGTGTGGAGTCTGCTTGGGATTCTCTCTTCCTTCTCTGTCTGCCCTGCCTTCTTTTAAAAAAAAAATCCATTTGTCTGTCTATACTTGGATGGATCTTTTGGTGCTATCATTCATCAATCATTTGGAAAATATTCACTGAGTTATTTAAGACTTCCATTATTGACACATTTCATTAATAAACTTTTTAAAAATCACATTTATTTCATAGTTGATTTTTATTAGAAGAATCTTTGAAGATTTGGGAAGTTGTCATGTTCTCAGTGGCAGATACAAGTTTTTCCAAAGTTCTAATTTTTGTTTTCAAACTCAAATTGTATCATTGCCAATAAGCTCAAATTGTACCATTGCAGTTATTTTCTTTGAACTGACTGCCATGGTTTATTTTTAAGAAAAGATTAGTCTGATACTCATATGTGAATAATCACAGTATATCTGTAAATCATCTTTCAAGTAAAAATGGTCTTCCATGTAAAAGGCTTTTAGCTCAGCTTTGTAACTCTTTTAACAGTAATAGTACAAGCACTTATCCCTGAGCCACCCATGCTGCTTTGGCAAGCGGTGGTAATGCTTGCTGTGTATTTGCTATTTCTTCACACAGAATATTCAGAAGACCTGTATTTAAGGGTTGAGATTTAATAAAATTAATACTTTTTACTACTGAATTATAGCCATTCTTCAGTGAAGCTCACTTTGTTTTTTACTGTAAATGTGTGGTGGTAAGGAACGCAGTGATCATTTGGTACCACTCACTACCTTGAGTTTTGTACTGAGGCATCAAGTTTTACTCACCATTGCTTTTGCTGTGTCAGTGCAAATACTTACATGGTGAAATCTTATTATTGTTATAAAAAGTTTTGACATTGCTAGCTCCCCGAGAGGGTCTCCATAATCCCAGGTGTTCCCCTGGATAACAATGAAGATTAAGATTGCTGCTCTAAGGGGTGCCTGGGTGGCTCAGTGGGTTAAGCCGCTGCCTTCGGCTCAGGTCATGATCTCAGGGTCCTGGGATCGAGTTCCGCGTCGGGCTCTCTGCTCAGCGGGGAACCTGCTTCCCTCTCTCTCTCTCTCTCTGCCTGCCTCTCTGTCTACTTGTGATATCTCTCTCTCTGTCAAATAAATAAATAAAAAATCTTTAAAAAAAAAAAAGATTGCTGCTCTAGTGTGCCTTTGAGTTTGGAAAGACTACGGACAGTGTGAAAGACACTTGGTCCATCAGTTTGAAACCCATTCAAATGAGAATAAACAAATAGTTAAACCAAAATTATTTAAGATTCCAGTGACCAGCATTTTGATTTTTTTCTAGTCTTTGGTTCAGTTCCCTTATTTCTTAATTCATCTCCCATCTTTACTCTTTTATTTCCCAAATCATAAAATGTCACTAGAGTGTCAGTAGAGGCAGACTCCCCATATTAACTCTTGCCAGGTAATTCCATAAAACTTGATCCACAGATAAAGGTTTCACACATGGTCCAGGTGATAAAATATCATGACCAAGCTTATTTTATTCATTAATAGTGATGACTTTTACTAGATTGTCTGAGTTTATATCTTGTCAATGTCCTAAGGCATTTATATTTTTAATTAAAATATAGTACAGAAATGTACAAAAATATCTGTACCACTTTACCAAATTTTTACTGTTTTTCAGTCATTTTTCCAGTTACTCTGAGGTGATGATAATAATTTTCAGATACTGTCTTGATACTAACCAGTCTTCCATATTAATCATAAGCCGTGTGCCAAATACAGATGCAAAAATGCTTCTATAAATTTAAATCTAAGAATTTACAAAACTTAAATCTGAAAGAAAATTTATTATAAAAAACTTTATTATATTTTTATAAAAGAATTATACTGTAATTCATTAAATTTTAATGTGTTGTATTATGCTAGCTGATAAAACAGCCATTTAAACTGAGACATATTTTTTCTTTTTATAGTATCTTCAACCAGTCTTGTCACTCCTCCAACAGTTGTCAGTAGTCAACCTAAATTGCAGACTCCAGTGACTTCTGGTTCTCTGACAGCAACGTCAGTTCTTCCTGCACCCAACACTGCTACAGTAGTTGCTACTACTCAGGTGCCTAGTGGAAATCCCCAACCTACAATCTCTTTACAACCTTTGCCAGTGATTTTGCATGTACCTGTTGCGGTGTCCTCCCAGCCTCAACTCCTACAGAGCCATCCAGGGACTTTAGTGACCAACCAACCATCTGGCAACGTTGAGTTCATTTCTGTACAAAGCCCACCTACAGTGAGTGGTCTTACCAAAAATCCAGTATCCTTGCCAGCCTTGCCAAACCCCACTAAACCAAACAATGTTCCTTCTGTGGCCAGTCCTAGTATTCAAAGGAACTCTCCTGCCAGTGCTGCACCATTAGGAACAACACTTGCTGTACAGGCTGTTCCAACAGCACACTCTATTGTACAAGCCACAAGGACTTCCTTACCTACAGTAGGTCCATCAGGACTCTATAGTCCATCAAATAACCGAGGTCCTATACAGATGAAAATTCCAATCTCTGCTTTTAGTACTTCATCGCCTGCAGAACAGAGCACTGCTACCCCAAGAATTGGTAAGTGACCGTGTAGGCTTAAAAATAGAAAAGTAGGCATGTTAATGGCCTGTTTAGATAATCGAACATTTGTGTATGTTTGTGGAAGTGGCTATCTTTATTTGAAGACAAAAGTAGAGAGAATATCCTAGATGTTATTTTTAGTAAGTTTTTAGTAACCTAAGAAATAATGTTGTTAAGATGGTATTTGAGAGGGAATTTATTTTGAATGAAAAGTTAGATTTTTAATTTAGCTTTTAGTAATTTTTCCTAATCTGGGTGAAATTTTTCATTGAGGCTTTGGGGCAAGCATTTTGAATTACTTATATAATACATTTGGCAGAAGTAGATCACATTTATTTTAAAGTATATCATTCCACATAATATATGCTTATAAGAGGAAATGACAAACCACATATCTTCCCTACCATTTGTTAGAGTTCTTTGTGCATTCATCACTCACATTTTTCAAATTGGAACAGTTTAAAAATAGGTTCTTCCCTCTCTAATTTACTATAAATGTTGGCTTCTTGTTTTCTTTCTTATGTATTTCCCCATGACATATGATTATCTTTGTATATGTCTGTATGCTTTCCAATATTGCAAAAAGGAGAAATTGATTGTACCTGTATTTGAAATCTGTAAAATTCTATGTCTTCCTTGTTCTTAAGAAGCATACATTTTGTATGCATTCTTAAACTTTCTTATTCTTCATTTCATTTCTGGCTTCACATTTATTCCCACTATTGTAAAAATAGGCAAAAATGGGTAAGTATCATGTGTAATAGTGAAATTGCTGCTGGTGTCTCTTACTGATATAATAAGTAACCATGAAATATAAAACAGATTCTAAAGTGCAAAATTTCATAAGTAAGATATAAGGCCTTTTTTTTTTTTAATTTGTCATGCAGCCATTAGTACTTGCCCTCTGAGTATATTTTCTCATGTGAAATAGTGATTGTAGTATTTTATAAGGTTGTCAAGAGTAAATGAGTAGATCAAAATTATATTGGACAGGAGCTTAAATATCAACCTCATACAAATTTACATCTTGGATACAGGAGGAAATCTGAAATTTTAACCAGTACAGTTATTGATAATAGTATTTAAAATGTAAATGCTCTCATAGTACAGTAACAATATTTGTTAGCCCTGTCTGCTACCACATTACTCTTAGACTCTGTTATTCATGTTTAGAGCACTGGAAGTTGCTTGCTTTTTAGTAAATGAGCAAGATTTCGGTGGGGGGGGGGTTGCTTCATTTTTCTCTAATTTATTTCTAATCCTTAGTATATTTTAATATGTCAGGTAGAAGGTGATTTCTCATAGACATTGTTTTGTGTGATTTTGGAGTTTTTCCTCTTTATGAAGTATTGAGCCTAAGTTGACACTATTTTTAATTCATGGTCACAAGATACATTCTTCAACAAAGAACTTTTCCTGATAAGCCATGGCTTGAAAAGAAATAAATAACTTAAAAGATTTTGCTTAGGTTTTTGAATGCTCATACCCTAAACACTTCTACAGGTATCAGAGTTATAATTTAATTATTCTGTTTTCTTAAAATTTTATGGCCATTTTTGACACAAAGGGTATATTTTTTTCCCAAAATTAGCTAGGTAATGCACTCTGTTAGGCATAGTGTTAGTCTGTTTTGTATTTATTTAATTACTTGACTGTTCTTGTTTTTGTATGTAAAACTAATAGTTTTCACAACCATTTTTAATCTGTACATAATTCTACTTTTGCAATAACATACATTTATATTTAAACTTTTATATTTTAACATGTATTTATTCAACACATTTTTATGTATTTTATTGTATAAATTAAGGAGATCATCATTTCAAGTTCTATTTAGAGTGCTTACTTATGTTTGAAAGTAAACGATTGGATATTAACCATAAATATGAATGATAAGCTTTTTTATTTTTTGTTGTGTTAATCAGAATGAGATCTGAAATGATGTATTCTTTAATCATGCATCATTTTAGAGGTGCCATAAATGATGTTACAATAACCATTTAGCTGTTAAGGCTTCCCAAAACCTAAGCTGAAGCCATATGGCACATTTTGGCTGAATATGAAGGTTGAACCCAACCTTTAATACATTTGTAATATGATAAATCAATTAGTTGTATAATTAAAACATTTTAAGTCATATAGTTATGTAGGTATTGTTGATTTAATGAGAACATAGGCTATCTAACTAGAATGCATGTAGTTTATTATATTTTATTATATAGTTCATGTGTCCTCATAGAGTAAGTCAGTATTTTCTGTTTATAGTAAAGTAAAAATTCTCCTAGAGGCTGCGAGGAGGTATAGGGCTTAAATTATAGTTAATCATTCATTCATGTGGAGGAGTTAAGATCCTGGAGGATTAGGGGGACCCTAAGCTTGCCTCATCTTTCAAGTACACTTGTAGTATCAAGCTAAGTAAATATCAAATCATTAATTAATTAATTAATTTTTTAAATTTATTTTTTTAAAGATTTTATTTATTTATTTGACAGACAGAGATCACAAGTAGGCAGAGAGCCAGGCAGAGAGAGAGAGGAGGAAGCAGGCTCCCTGCTGCACAGAGAGCCCGATGCAGGGCTCGATCCCAGGACCCCGGGACCATGACCTGAGCCGAAGGCAGAGGCTTTAACTCACTGAGCCACCCAGGCGCCCCTCAAATCATTAATTTAAACACCCAAGAAACCAGTTTGAGGACCGAGAGAGCAAGCTGCACAACTAGGGCAGAGAAACAGCTGCATCGTGTTACTTAGAAGCTGCAGAGAGTTGATTTGGGAGAGAAAAGAACTGCAGGAGGAGAGGAAGCCCTGATTATGGAGAGAGAAGAGAGGAGAGACAGACGGGGAGAGAGAGAGAAGCAGTGTACAGGGGATTACACTAGAAAAACTTCCCCAAAACTACTGACTGGAAAAAGGAGAGGAACTGACTATTGCAAGTTATTATAAACAGTGGATCACAAAGTCTGAATGAAGTTCTAGAAGGCCTTGCTATTGCCACATTCATGCATGGTAGACTTAGTCATGCTCCAGTGGGGAAGGAGAACAGAGACCTGGGAGTAGGCAGCGTGGTCTGAGGATCCTCTGGGTCACACAGGGAAAAACACTAACCCCTCTTGGAGTACATTTGGGAATGGAAGCACCACCTGTCCGGGGACAAAAGCACTGGTGGTGCCAGTGTTTCTGCCTTGTTTCCTAGCATAGGAATAAAGACACTGGTTGAGGGCCGTAAACCCTGGTGCTGGCTTTTTGTTGCACTTTGCCATAAACTCTGAACTGCTGCCTGTTCCTGCGACTGCTTTTGTGGGACAAAACAGCAAACAGCAAAAAGAATGGCAAGACCCTCCCCCAGAGGATCAGTGTGGGTCCCTAAAACTTGGACTTTTGAAACCCAGCCACATTCCTGAGATATAACACAAGTGTCCTGTGCCCCCTGGCAGGCAGACAGCTTGGACACAGGATAGAGTGAAGGCAAAAATCTGATGGAAACTGGGGACACAAGAAGGGTGACTGTTTGCTCTTCTGTGAGGGCTTCCTGAAGAGTGACAGGGGTGAACTCACTCCCCTGCCCTGGTTCCAGGTACAAGAGAGAGGGCTGATGTTATTCCTCCCCCACTTCAGCACTGCCATACTAAAATGAGCAGAACACCACCCAGTGGAGGCCTGCTTACACCAAACCCAGCTTCCATGCACCCTGGAGGTGCATCTTTACCAGGACAAGTTCACCTAAAGAATCAGTGCAGCAGGCCCCTCCCCCAGAATACCAGCACAAACCCCGCACAGCACCAAGTCTGCTGATCATAGAGTGCTTTGAAGCCTCAGCTCTAGGGAAAATAAGATCTAGCTGCCTTTTTTTTTTTTTTTAAACCTTCTCTTAATAAAGCCATTCCTCTCAGGATCAGGACTATAAAAGGCTTTCCCAACAATCACACACACACACACACACACACACAAAATACAGTGACATGAAAAGAAGAAGGAAAGAAAGATACTGAATCACAAATGTAGACTTAGCAAACTCATCAGCTCCTTAAAGCATAGTAGTATTTGTATCGTAGGCATCCCAGAAGAAAAGAGAAAAGGGGGCAGAAGGCTTATCTGAACAAATTATAGCTGAAAACTTCTCGAATCTGAGGAAGGAAACATACATCAAAATCCAAGAAACATAGAGAACTCCCATTAAATCCAACAAAAGCTGACTGTCACCAAGGCATATTATAGTCAAATTCACAAAATACACAGACAAGGAAAGAATCTTGAAAGCAGCAAGGGAAAAAAGTCCTTAACCTACAAGGGACGACAGATCAGATTCACAACAGATCTGTCCACAGAAAGTTGACAGGCCAGAAGAGAGTGGCATGATATGTTCAACATGCTGAATGGGAAAAATATGCAGCCAAGACTACTTTATCCAGCAAGGTGTCATTCAGAATGGAAGGAGCAATAAAGAATTTCCTGACAAACAAAAACTAAATGTGTTTGTGACCACTAAACAAGCACTGTGAGAAATATTAAAGAGGATTTTGAGTGGGGCGAACAGAAAAGACCAAAAGCAAAAGCACTAGAAAGGCCCAGAAACTCCCACTTTAGAGGTAACGCAGTGGCATTAAATTCATATCTATCAGTAGTCACTCTGGGTGTTAACAGACTAAATGCTCCAATCAAAAGACATGGGGGATCAGAATGGATTAAAAAAAAAAAAAAGACATATCTATATGCTGCAAGACACATCTATATGCTACCTACAAGAGACTCATTTTAGACCTAAAATCATCTCCAAATTGAAAGTGAGAGGATGGAGAACTATCTGTCATGCTAATGGATGTCAAAAGAAAATTGGAGTAGCTATACTTACATCAAACTAGATTTGAAACCAAAGACAGTAACAAGCAATGAAGAAGGGCACTATATCGTAATTTAGGGATCTGCCCACCAAGAAGAGCTAACAGTGCCCCCAACTTGGGAACACCCAAATATATAAATCAGTTAATAATGAACATGAAG